CATTAAAAAAAAAAAGATACACTCAGGAGCAGCTGGACGGAAGCGATGCGTAGGGCAAGGTACGGGCACAGAGCTCCCATGCCTCTCCAAACGCCTCTCTCCGCAGATCTCCGTGTGCTCCCAATCTGCAAGATCTCCCGAACCCTGTTTTCACGGAGGCTTCTTTACGTAGGATAATTGACTAAATCATTAGCAATTAGTAACAATTCAATCTGCATCCCCTTTCCTCTCCTGGGAGTCTGGAGGGAAGTGGAAAGTTCCAACCACGTAATCGTAATCTTCTTCGGGCAACCTGCCCAAAACCTCAGGTTACCTGGGGGGCTTCCTCATTAGCATAACAAAAGACACCTTGCCTGCTCTCCAGATTCCAGAAGGCGGGGCACCTGGGTGGCTCAGTCGGTAGAGCGGCTGACCCTTGCTTTTGGCTCAGCTCATGATCTCACGTTTCGTGGGTTCAAGCCCCGCGCCTGGCTCCGCGCTGACTGTGCAGAGCCTGCTTGCGATTCATTCTCTCGCTTCCTCTCTCTGTCAAAATGAATAAATAAACTTAAAAAAAAAAAAAAATTCCAGAAGGGTTTTAGGAGCTTGTGTCCAGAACAAGGACTAAGACCAACTATAGATTCATTATAAATCACCGCATTACAGGAAGGTAAAGTGAACCGGAGGGGTTCTGGGTAGGGGAGCCCTCGGATCATCAGGCGGTTCGGAGGTCATGTGTGGCAACCTGCTGTTGGGCATAAAGTAAAGCTGGAAGTGGGGGACCTTGATGTCTTCAGCCACTTCCAAATCACCCTGCTGTGCCTCTGCCCAGCACATGCTCTTTGTCAGACAGCCTCCAAGTGACATGTGTCACCAAGAAGCATCCAGAAGCAAAACTGGAGCTCAGGCCTCCTGTGCCTTCCCCGGGTCCTCCTGGGCATGGCGGTGCCCTCAGCAGAAGATGGCCGTGGGGCTGGGAGAGCCTCACAGGAGTTTTAGACTCAGGCAGCTGCTGTTTTGGAGTTTGTACCTACGATGTCTTCCCGCCCCCAACCCCCGCTCCTGACTCTGCAGGACTGACCAACTGAACTTAACTTTGTGACGCCATTCCCCCCCCCAAATGTTTTGAAAACTGTATAGATCTTCCTGTAAATTAATTTTAAAATACAAATGATGTTCAGAATTAAAGGGGTCAAATGCCCTCCGCATCTTGGAAGGGATGTCTTTGAGAGATTCTGTGGTTTGGCCAAAAGCCTGAGAAAAACAATCTCAAACTCCCTCAACCGTTCATGGGGAAACGTGGGAAAAAATCATAATACGTGGGATTTTTTTTTTTTTTTTCCTTTTTAGGAGGCGAGGTTTTTGAATCAAACCACCCCCGTGACCTTCATAGCCAAGGGGAAAGGAGGTATCCTCAGATTTTCTGGAAGGCTCAGGGCCAGAACCCCCTAGGTGCGAGAGCCACAAAGGGCAGGGCCTGGAGGAGGAAGAAAGGGCAGAACAGAGATTTGGTTGCTGGACGCATTAGGCAGGATCTCCCCGGAGGGGGTGCCCAGCACCTTCCAGTCTGCACCATCTAGGACACAAATTAGGGTCAGAACTCAACACCTCCAGGGCTGGCTCTGCTGGTTTTTGTTTTTTTTTTTTGGTTTCTTTACAGGCGTTTCTCAGGTGATTTGCTTGCATAACCTGTAGACAAGGCTGTAAACAA